ATTTGACTGCATCTTGGTGTGTCTGGCCTCTGTGGTCTGGGGTTCAACAGCCTGCAGTACATGTTCTGTCTTCTCTCCTTTAGGGCAGACTGAGCTGAGCTGCTCCCTTTTATGCTATGGCTTCAGTTGAAGAATGCTGAACAGGGGAGACGCAGCATGGCCTTTTCAGTCAAAGTATGAGGTTATCTTCTTCTGGCCCAGTGCAGGGCAGGTATACACCATCACAGGGAGCAAAGCTTCATTTTATACACAGGGTGAGTTACACAATTCCTTTAGATGAGCAGCACTTCGAAAGTGTACAGATTGAAAAAAAAAGTGAAGGGGACATTTTTATAAAGGGCAAAGCAATAACCCCCACTTCAGAAGCCTGCAAATTACCATCATCTGCACAACAGGGTTCCAGCACATTTTAGATGCTTGCAATAGAGCAGCAGCTTGGGCCTGCTAATGGAGCATTGCAGAAGTGAGTGCTCTCTATGGGGAGGAATTCTGACAAGGTTTTTTGATAAAAAATAGAAATCGACCCTCCGGGAACATAAAGGGTAAAATCTTGGCTCAGAAAAATTAAATAGCAAAACTCCCATTGATTTCCCAGTGGGTCCAGGATTTCACCCAAATCTTTTATGCATCAGACCAAAAAGGGGAAAAAATAAAAAAAAAAATTGCTCAGAGAATATTTTTATAATAAATTCTTATACTTTCCAACACCTCCTCAGTATTTTATAAACTCCTTCAGCATAAGAGACATTATTCAATTTACACTCAAAGATATGTCTGACTTTTGTTTGTTGCACACTTGCCTTGCCTTTCAATAAGGCTTCCAATTATATTTCTTTTCTGTGATCTCTGTTTGTACTGTTGTGCCTCTGACCATGGGGAGTAGGGAAGCACAGACAACATTATGTTAATATTAATATGCTTTTGGAATCCCTTTCTTTATTGCTTTTAACAGGAGGCATAAAAGAATAGAAAGCAGCTAGATGTGACCAGCTAAGAATTCCCCCATCATGAAGGAATTCTCAGCTAGCGTACAGCTAGAGTACCTCATTTCTATACCAATATCCTACTCACCCCTAGTAAGGGTGAAATTTGGGATAGTGCCAGCTAGTGTGAGTTTGAGCTGCTCAGAGCTCTTTTCCCCAACCTTTACTAATCAGAGAAAAAAATCACATCACTGCATTCAGACTTTTTCAAGCTGCAATATTAAGAACCAATGGTACACTGATAAAACAATTATATAACACAGTGCAAAACAATGCACATGCACAAAGTATTTTTAAAACAATTGTGATTTTGAAACATTCCAAACCAAGAAAAAGAAAATCTGTCTATCTGCCTGTGAGATTTCAAGTTCCTATCATGTACCTTGGTGTGGCAGAACAGCTAAAAGTAGCAAATTTATTTTTTAGCATATGGGAAGTATTTGTTTTCACTCCTATTCTTGAGAATGGCTGAGCCATTTGACTTAAACTTTCAAATTGTTCCCAGATCTTTGAGAACAAAGTTGTCAGAAAGCCACTAAACGGAAAGAAGTATAAGCAACTGAAAAATGACACCTTTTTATAGAAATCTGTGTGTGACCTTGGTGATGCACTTCACACACTTCCTAACAATAAGAACAAGTTTAGGATCAGATCCAGGAAAATGCGCACCTCCTGCAAGGTACTGAACATTTTCAATTCCAATTACTCAGCACCTTGTAAGATCAGGCCTATAGTATTAGATTTTAATCTAAAACTATCAAAACTGAGGGGGTAGGGGAAAAGGGAAGAGCACTTTCTTAAATTCTTCCATTGAGTTAAGTTATCATGAACCCCTTTCAACATAGCTGTAGACATAGGTTAATGCCATTATCATCATATTAGCTGGTCATGTGGTAGCCCAGATGGGATCTAGGCTACAATATAGCCAACGGATGGAATGGAGTAGCCATTAAACTGGGCCTATGGGGGTTTTCAGGGTTAAGATAACTTATTTCAGCTACCTCAACTGGGAATGGAGGAAAGGAAAGGAGGAGAAAGTATCTTGTCCCATATACAGACACAATCTAAATGTTTCTGAAATTCCTTAGAAAAAATATGTCTCAATGAAATAATGAGAAAAGCAGATCTCCATATTATAAACAACCAGTTATAAAAAGTAATCCTCTGAAGAAAAGAAATGGAAGATTATTTGTATCCGGTACAATGAATCAACTCTAACTTGACCTTCACATAGGATATTTAATGTCTAGCAGCAGAGTTAGAGTTGAACACCAAAATCTCATTTCAGATTACTGATCTGTGAAATTCTGGTTGACAGCAGAAGAGCTTCATGGAAGATAACAAATAATGTGAAAAGAAATATCAGCAAACAAACCAAACATGGAATTTAATGACGCATAAGATACAATTTTTATCTTTTCTGACTGTTCAATGGATCTGCACATCTAATATTTCAGAGACTGTTATTAAAAATTTGGAAGCACTTCATTCATTTTTTGGAGAAAGAATGAGCTCCTATAAGAAAACAATTTATGACAAGAGATTTGATTTGATTTGGACTAAAATTACATTTTGTTTTCAAGGTGATCTGATTCAAAAGGAGCAATGTCCCATTCAATGTATGAAAGAAAGCTTTTGCAAAGTCTAAGAGCAATACAAATGTTTTTACAATCAACAAAAAAGACAAATGAAAACATGTTTTTAAACAAACTGTATTTGAAACCCAAAAACTGCAGTTCCAAGAAACTGAGGGCCAGATCTTCTGGTGGTGCAGATCAACATATCTGTTGAGTGGCACTCGGATAACAACATGCCCAGTTTTAGGCCCTGAAAACATTATACAACTGAATGAATTGGTTTTGATTGTCCATGCTCAGAAAAATATAACAAAAAGTATAATAGAGGCAAATGAACTTAATCTTAAACATTTATTCCCTTTCACTAACCCAAGGCATTTTAGTACAATAGGCAAAGAAAGCTGTTTGCTTACCGCTTTTACTTTTTAAGTGTCCATTTGAATGAATATTTTCCAAATAAGACAACAATGGCACGTCTACATAGCAGGGATAAAATCGAATTAAGCTACGCAACTTCAGCTATGTCAATTGCGACACTTAAGTTGAAATAGCTTAATTCGGCTTTTGGCACTGTCTACACAGCAGGAAGTTGAAGGAAGAGCACTCTTCCCTGGACTTCCCTTACTCCTCATTAAATGAGAGTTGCCATGAGTCAAAATAAGAAGTCCCCCAGCTTAACATTATTTCGAAATAAAGGTTTGTTATAACATCAGTTATTCTGAAATTATGCTGCTGGTTAGAAGAACCCCAATGCCCTGGCAACACCCTGGCTCTGGCGGGGGGGGCGGGGGGGGGTCTGGCAACCTGAATTCACCGGCTGCAACAGGGGAAGGGGAGCAACACAGCCCCAGCTCCTTGCTTTGCTCTCCCAGTCACATCACTTTGCTTTCTGCCAGTGAGTGTGGAGGCAGTTACTCACCACCCCCAAGCAATGTGGCTGAAGGAGCAGAGTGAGGTAGGGTCACATTATTGTCTCCTCCATTGCTGGTGGCGAGCATGGGGTACCAGCCCCCCTGTGCCACCCAGGGACTATGTCTCCTCCAGCTGCTGGCCAACCCCCTTTTCCTCCTGCTCAGGGTGTTTGGGGGAGCATGCACCCCCCAGTGCCTCCTACACATTGCCCCCTGCTCTTAGACATATACACTGTAAAGTCAAATGACCTTAGTACCATGGCAGAAAATGTGCTGAAGCTATTGCTCCTGAGTCAGTGGCCTTCTACATAAGACCTATGATGAATCAGCACCATTAGGGGGCACCACAGGCAAAAAGAAGGAAGATAAAGGGCTTGCAAAAAGACAAGTGATCTCTTTATTCAAGCCACAGGGATATACTGGAATTTCAGGATACAAGAATCCATAAAATGCTAAACAAATACCTGTTAGTTATGCCTCTCCCAGACATCTGAATAGTACCCATCATACCAAAGACTGAGCAGTATGTGAACTATCCCCTCTCTACCTTGAACTACATTCAGACAATGCCAAACTATACCTTTACATAGCATTATTGGTAATCTTTTTTTTTAAAGTTTTAGCCATACAGTGGAAATAGGAATAAGAGATCCTCCGGAATAGGGTTTTATTCCGGAGGATCGCGCCAGTCTGGACACTCTTTTACGGCTTTTCCCCAAGCCGGAAAAAAAGCGGTGGCCATGTTTATTTAAATCCCACGGGGGATATTTAAATCCCCCGCGCATTTCCCTATTCCAAAGTTCTAAATTAACATGGCAATTCCGAAGAAGGGGCCAGTGTAGACACAGCCGTAGTGTACAAATAATGCCATGTGGCCTTGTATGATCTAATAGTCAAAATAAACACAGATGAAGTACTGTGAATACTTAGGGGAAACAAATGCATTTAAAGAGCTGGTTCTTGAACAATTAGCTAATCAAAGGAGGTCTAGGATCATAACAAAACTGCTTGTAATCACTACTTTTACTAGCTCTGCTAATACTTCTTACCAATCTCACAGAGGAAGGGTTTGAATATTTAATTAGTTACATTTATAGCTTTTTGCGAATGTGAAGAGCTACATTTGCATAATGTAAGTGCTTCATATGTGTATCTCATATGGTATTTGTTTCTTTGTATAATATGTTGTTTTATTTCCAAATTATTCATTTTTAAATATAAGATCTTCTTAAGCTTTCTCTCAAGTAAATGCACTTGAATGGTCAACTGTTGGTGTTGTTGAAATTTGATACTTGAAACACTAGATGGCAGAATAAGGCAGGAACTAAGCTTTCATAAAGGTCTCTACAAATCCAAAAGAAAATGATTGTGTATTTATGTACAGTTAATGTTAGAGGTAATAACGTATTTTTTTACAGAAACATTTATCTTATGTAGAATACTAATATAAAAATTATCTGCATATTCTATCACAATTGTTTATCTCACACATACATTTTAAAAACTGGAAAAACTCTTCTGGCTTATTCACTCTGTGCAACTCTTACTCACAGTGGTGGTTTTTATTCCGTATTCAACCCCTGAGTAGAAATCCCAGCTCTGTCAACAAAGAATGATTGCACAATGTGAACTAGTGAACTACCGGGCCAAATCTTCAGGTCAAATATTAAGTTCAAAGGAAGTTACAATTGAGTCAAGAGTGAGTAAAAATTGAATATGGACTTCAGGATTTGTCCTGCAGTGCACATAGAGGAGGATTTTGTTTCTTAATTGTATCAAAGTAGCTGATTGCAAAATACAAGACAACTGTACTGACCCACTACATATTCAAAAATAAGAGGGCATGGAAAAAATACAGATTTCAAATAAAGTTAATATATTAAATGAACACCTATTTGACAGCCCAGCATGGGATGACAAACTTCAGCTTACAAAACACACCTGAACAAATACTAAGAGCAATACGCGCTCTAGAATCAAGGTAATTGTAATAGCTATTTTCGGGTTAATGTAATCTGCATGTATAGCTCATTATGTAGGAGTAGGTGCTTTGCACAATGTTTAGTATCATGAATGGAATGGAAGCTTGGAAAATAGTATTCATTAGCAAATAGTGAATATAAATATGCCTAAGCTTGACCCATGTTGGGTAGCTGATTAAGAAACAAAGCATCCAAAATTAGTACCACTAGTAAAATGGTATCCAGTGCTGTTGAGAGGAATAATACAGTCACACAGGTGAAGGAACTTCTGCAGAAGTTTGCGACTGAGATGGGATGTGACACAAATTCTGTTCAGATTTATATTTAAGTAACTTCAGTTTTTCTGGTTTTGACAGAGTTCTCTGTATATGTCTGTCCCACCTGACTCATGCAGGTCTCACAGAGAAGCAGACATCCAAGTCTGGGTGGGAGCCTGGGCTCTGAGAACCAGCGCAGACATCTACATTGCAATTCTATATCCCCATAGCCTGAGTCAATTGACATAGGCCAGCAGTGGGTGCTTTATTGCACAGTAGGTATACCAGAGAACAATCTCAGCTCATACCAGACCTGCTCTTGGGGCTATAAAAAAGCAGGGGTGCAGAATTTTTACCCTAAGGCTTCCCGGAAGTAACTGAGTCATTTCAAAATCACAGGATTTTGTTCTCAAAACACATTTTTAGTTCATAACTGAATACATATTTTCTTCTTATTGTGGTCTGCCTTGAGGAACTCGGATTCAAGTTTAAAAGTACGTAGGTGGTTTAGCTGCTTTAGCTAGTTTTACTGTTTTGTTTAAATTCTTCGGGAAAAAAGCAAGCATTCAAACCACAGCAGCAATGTGTTAACTCCTGAGATAGATGTAAACATGCTAACTTTGACCAAAAGAGGTGTAGAAGGGAAGACAGGGTAGCTAGTGAAGTAAGTACCTACGATCCTGGGCGGGATCACACTTAGGCCAGCTACACTCTCCTGTCACTTGTGCTGCTGAAGCTACACTTCTGTTTTTAGCATGTTAGTACAATCAAAGCTAGAGCATATATTTGTAACCAAGCTGAGAACAACACTTCTAGGTTGGAGTGCAGGGTGTCTCTCTGTGGGAGACTTAGTTCAGGCTTTTAACTATGGTGTTGCCCTCTCTAGGCCCTCTCCCCACCATACAGAATAATCTCTCATCTAAGCTAAGTGCTACTCTCAACCCAGGGTAGTTAGCTCAACTAGAGTGAGGGTTAGAACTTGAATTCCACTTTCATTCTAGCTGGTAACCTAGGGTATGTCTACACTACAAAGTTAATTCGAACTAACGGATGTTAGTTCGAATTAACTTTGATAGGCGCTACACTAGCGCTCCGCTAGTTCGAACTTAATTCGAACTAGCGGTGTGCTTAGTTCGAACTAGGTAAACCTCATTGAACGAGGACTAAGCCTAGTTCGAACTTACTAGTTCGAATTAAGGGCTGTTTAGCCCCTTAATTCGAACTAGTGGGAGGCTAGCCCTCCCCAGCTTTCCCTGGTGGCCACTCTGGCCAACACCAGGGAAACTC